TTTCAGGAGGGAAGGGAGTGTTGCACATGCATGGGCTATGTTAATGTGTGTAAAGCATCTGTGCCTCCCTGCTGGTTTCTGTCTGAATTGGGCACAGCCAGGATTCATCTACCTGTGTTGTGAGGATAAATAGGCTCTAACTCTCCTCTGACACCATGCACATTGCCTCAGCCATTTGTATGCACACACCTTGCAAAACCTTGTGATGGTCTCGGAAAACCACTTTTGTTTGCCATTCACACTTCCGCAACTGCTTCCCCATTGGTGATTCTTCTGAGGTTAGATTTGCAAAATCTGAGGTGTGAGTACTGGCCTGAAAAAGTGTCTGAAATTCTCGTTAAAAAAAAAAAAACAAATATAAATCTGTAGGGATACAGTTTGACTGTCCAGCTCAGACTCAGTGGTGCAAGATATTGTGCACATCCTGGGAGGAGCAAAATGCCGCCGCTGTCATTAAAGCAGTCTGCTCTGATGTTAGACAGAGCCCTGCTGGGTTTCGTTTGGAAACTACAGCTATGGTTGCTGGAAGGGGGCTGACAATGTGGTAATTATGCTGCTGTCAAATTAATTTGAAATACTTTGTCACAAATACAAGTTGAATCTAAACGAACATCTCCATCTCAATGAATTTTCTGAGGTTTAAGCAGAAAGCTCTTAGTTTTGATGTTGGCCTACTGACAACAGGGCGTGGAATTCCTTTTGCCTTTGCTTTTGCTGTTGCTGTTAGTCCTTGGCTGCAAGCAAACAACACCCAAAAGGCAAGTTAACAGACATGTTTTGCATACCTTCCACTGTGTTGAAAACTGCCATGAGTATGAACGTATTTCCTAATCAGCCTGAAAGAAGTTTCATCTCATTACAGCTATCCATGTCACTAAGTATTCCATTCAGCTTAATGCTTCCAGGAGTTATATCCAGGATATTTGCAGTATGTTATATACAATCCTCATTAGATTTTTTTTGCACTGCTTGAATTCCTGTAAAAAGCCTGAAGTCATGAATGTGACATCATTCCACCCAATTAAGGTGCAATAATCATATAGTCAGCATGTTCAGAAAGTGTCTTGTGGAACAACTTTAAACCTCACTTTGAAATTTCATATCCGAGAGGGGGATTTTATTTGAGCCTTAGTAGCTTTTAACTGCCTTACATTTAAGCTACTTGAAGGTCTGTCAAGCTTCTTTTCTTGTGATGTCTCTGTTAGTGGAGTTCTTTATTAATTTAAAGGCAGACTACCATAAACTTCAATTTTTCTAAAATTCAATCATAAATACAAAAAAGGTCAGTCTGACACAAACCCTTCAACAGATGAATCTTTGCAAGAAAACCATTACTTCTAGACAGACATTGCAAAAATGTGATAAACTGTGGAACTTCCTAAAAATGCACCGGATAATCGAGTTTGTTACTGACAAACCAATTTCTTGTCTTTGTTGGAATAAAGCAAAATACTTCTATTTTGTTTTCTGGTGCTTTTTGTATTGCTTGAGATTACCAAGTATTCTTCCCCAAGTGGTATCTCTTTAGGTTTTGTTCAACACTTGTTCCACGTGTGTTGTTAATTAAATATGGTGAAGTACAAATTACTGGTGGAATGTTCCCTGGAGTTTTGCACACATCCCTGGCCATCTGTGGTCAGCACTGAAGTAGCTAAACTTGGTGGTATGATCCTTCCTCTATCATCCTGTTCCTATTGAAAGAAGTTGAAGAGATTGGCTTGTTTGAAATAGGCTATAGGGGTCACAAGTGCTGTCCTCAAGGTCATTCAAAACAAAAGGAGAGAGAAAGAGGAAAGAGTTGTTTAAATAAACAGAAATGATTGCCCAAAAATTAAATGCCTGATCTGACCACAAAAAACCGTCAGCTGAAAATCCGTGAAAGGACTTCTAACAGCCTGAATGTGAGAGTCAGCGTCTGCCTTCAAATAGAAGCCATAAAGGCAGAACACGCGTTCAATTTGAGGTGGATAAAATGATGTGGATACTTGTGGAGACTGGGGTTGAACTTAGTGTCTTCTGATTTCGAAGTGTATGCTAGAATGCTTTCTAGAATGCTGCTTTTTTTCTTTTTTTTTTAGGTGTCCAAAGTGCTTTACAATGTCAGTGCTACAATTCAAAATACGTATGTTAGGAAGGATAGGAGGTGAGAATAAAAAAAAAATATCAGAGGAGCATTGATGGGTCAGGAATTTTCTGCTAGAAGTCCTTTCTTATCAGAGGAACCTTCCCTGACTACCTGCTACCATGCCTTGTCCACTCATTTTGTAGGTTATCTGTATTCTGAAATTGACTTTATTTTTCTAGTGACTCCTGTTAACCCAGTGGAGCTTGTTTCCTTGTATCTGCAATGTATGTTAGCTCTTGATTCTTAAAACTATGTGGTAGTAATATTCTTCCCTCACTTTAGGCAACAGGGATGATTCTAGATAGGAGATTCTGATTTCTCACTCAGCAAACAAGATCCTAGTTTCTCTCAGCTAATGTTCATCCTTCTATTGTTTCCTTGTCTCTGCAGCTTCCTATTGTTGAAAAAATAAGGATCATTGCTCAGAAGGTGTATGGAGCTCAGGATATAGAATTCTCTCCCGCTGCACAGTCACAAATTGATTGTTACACCCGGCAGGTAAGAACACCAGTGCATTACGCAGTCAGGTACCTGCTGGATGAGAGGCTTACAAAACCTCAGTGTGTAAAAAGTTCTCAGATTGGAGTGTTTAGTCAGGCTTTGCTAAAAGGCGTGAGCTTACCCATGGTGCTAAACTGTGGAGGTTGGTATGGATTAGTTTAGATTAGATTAGATTAGATAGATCAGAATGGTTTTAACCTTGAAAGCTATCTTCTGTAAGATATGTATGATGTTTGAAATCAGTCTGAGGTTGTTCCTGAAACTGTACTTTTCTATGTGGAGTCATAATTTTGGGTTACTGCTGCACATCTGCAAAAGTAGCAGCTAGTGAATGTGCCAGATTTTAGCATATTAATATTCATTTTTACCTGCAAAAAATGAGTTTGCAAACACAAAAAAGACCTGTGCACAGCTATGCACATTAATAGCAAAGCTCCCAATACTTTTAAAATCTTCTGTTTTGTCAGAAAACAGAAACTATGAACATGACATAGAAAAATTCCTGAGTATACTCCAGCAGCCTGGTCAGACAGGCAGAAGTATATCCATCTTCTCTATAATGCAAATCTCCTGATAATTAATTTTATTTTCTAGATGGAAAATAAGCTTACTTAGTGTACTTGAAGCAAAATAATCCATGTCTTTATCTTTTCCTGCTGTGATTCTCTAGTCTATTTTCTAGTCTAAACGTTGATAGTATTAGGAAATACTAGGAAATATTCTCACAATGTCATTAAAGGATTGTTGTCATCACTGGGCTGTGAAGGCAGGTCCCTGAAGTGCCTCCTCTCTTCTCTTCATGGCCTTGTGAATTGCATCCCTTTTTGTCGAGGAATTGAACAGAAAAGTGGAACGTGCCTGACTGAAGGTTAATCAATAACCTGGGAGACAAATAGTGTGGGGGGAGCTGCTGAGGGCCTCTCCCTGATTTTCTCCCACTTTTCTAGTAACTACTGCATTGTTACTTAAAAACAAAACAAAGCATCATGAACCATTTGTGTTTACCTCCAAGAAGGCATTAGTACTCTTAAAGAGTTTTGAATCATAAATCCTTATCTCAAGTAGGTATCTATCTAGGTCATTAGAGCCAAGAGGGAAGTGCTGTACTGGAGTTTTATTGAGTTTGTGTCAGTTTCTTGTTCAGTGGGGAATCTGTTGTACACCCTTTCTGAAAATAGTACACTCTAGCTGTTGTATAGGCAACTTTTGCACCTAACGCTAGACTGAGAACCCACTCTAGAACCTGGAAATCACTACAACCAAGTCTCTGGAGATACAGGCCTGAGGGGAGAGAGAATAGCATGTAAAATACACTATTCTGTCATTTTCTGAAATATTAGCTGTTAAGAAACTGAGAGTAACTATTGATGTATGGATTTTAGTATTTCTAGAAGCTACTGATAAAAAAGTGAAAATATATTCCATCTTAACTGTAATCTTAAAAACATTTTTGTTTTATTTTCTGTTAGGGATTTGGAAATCTTCCCGTTTGTATGGCAAAAACTCACCTATCCCTCTCCCATCAGCCTGAGAGGAAGGGCGTTCCTACTGGTTTCATTCTGCCAATTAGTGATGTGAGAGCTAGTATTGGAGCTGGATTCATCTACCCTTTGGTAGGAACGGTGAGTGCAGAGTATTCAACTCAATAACTCCCTTTCCTTTGACCCACTTTGGTGGGGAAGTTCATTTCCTGTTTTCCTCTAAAAATAATGTGGAGAACCAGGTGAGTTCTGAGTTTTTATAATAATTTTATCCTCATCCTTTTTGTAGCTCTATGTTGATAGGAAAAGATAATTAGGAAAATGTAATACTATATAAGAGCTTTGACGACAGCGTCTGAGACTCTTGCTACTTACTCTGTTTCTGATGTTTTTCAGTTATCCTAGGATACTTAGGCACCCTAATGCTGCAGAAAAAATGAATGTACCTGTCCATTGCCTTTCCTTACTCAAATTGCAGTCTGTAAATAACTGCAGTTACATGATTCTGTTCTAAATGTTAAATCTTAAATCTGTCTTTAGAAAGCATTCTGTAATGTATTTAGATTAAAGGAATTGTGTTAGGAAAGAGT